ATTTTGCTGTGCCCCTGGGAGGAGGCAAACTCAGGGTCTTCCTACTCTGTCTTCTTGGCCACATCTCTGCTCCTGATACTTTTTTTTGCAAAGCAGAAGTTTTAATTTTGATAAAGTCAAGTTTATCAATTATTTATTTTATTGATTGTGCCCTTGATGTTGCATCTAAAAAGTTTTTTACACACTTAAGGCCATCTAGATTTTCTCCTGTATTATCTTCTAAGTGTTTTACAATTTTGCAATTTACATTTAGGACCATGATTCTTTTTTTTTTTTTTTTTGTGGTACACGGGCCCCTCACTGTTGTGTCCTGCTGCAGAGCACAGGCTCTGGACACACAGGCCCAGCGGCCATGGCTCATGGGCCCAGCTGCTCCACGGCACATGGGATCCTCCCAGACCGGGTCACGAACCCATACCCCCTGCATCGGCAGGCAGACCTCCAACCACTGTGCCACCAGGGAAGCCCAACCATGATTCATTTCGAGTTAATTTTTATGAGTGTGTAAGTTCTGTGTCTAGTTTCTTTCTTTTTTTTAATTTTTTTATGTGGATGTTCAGTTTTTCCAGCACCATCTGTTGAAGAGACTATCTTTTCTCCATTGTATTGTCTTTGCTCCTTTGTCAAAGATTATTTCACTATATTTACATGGGTATATTTCTGGGCTCTCTACTCTTGTTTTATCAACTGATTTGTCTGTTTTTTTTTTTTTTTTTACCAATAGTACACTGTCTTTATTACTTTAGCTTTATAGTAAGTCTTGATATCAAGTAGCATCAGTTCTCCAACTTTGTTCTTCTCTGTCAATATTGTGTTGGCCCATATATTTCAATTTAGTTTACTTGTTTTCTTTCTGTTCAGTTTTGAGAGTTTTAAAATATTTTTGATACAAGTCTTTTCCCAGATATGTGATTTGCAAATATTTTCCTCTGGTACAATTTATCATATATAGTTTTTTTTTTCTTTTCTAGTCATGCTTTTGGTGTCATATTTGGTGTCATATTTAAAAATTTAAGAATGTCATATTTTTGTCTAGCTTAAGGTCCTAAAGATGTTTTTTTTTTTCCTATAAATGTGCCTAAAAGTGCAAAACTAGCCCTGTGAGGATGAAATCACTTAGGTGATTTCTCTGACTGTATATCTTGTAGATAAAAGGAGATGAAAGATGGCACCTCTGAATATAATTAGGTTAATATATCCTGGTTTACTTTTTTTCTGAATGTGTTTAAGTCATTAAAGAAGAAAATTAAATAAGGATATTCAATTCTATTCATGCAATGAGACTGGAAATTAATTTATTTTTTACATGGACAAAATATTATATACATATAATGTAGAGTTGTACTCATGAATTTATAAATATTTGAGTACCCATTATGTGACAGGTATTGTGGAGGACATTAGTGATTAAAGTAAAAAGAAAAAAAATCCTTCCCTGCATGGAAAACCTTTTAGTGAAAAATAATATATAATATATGATCTACATCATATATCATATAGGTCATAATGTGATATATGATTCAAATCATATACCTTATAAATATATATATATACATATATATGTATTTAATTACTTATTCAAAGGAAAGTGAAATAACAATTTATTGTTCCACTTGATGAGTCTATACCCTTAAGTCCTCTTGAGACGAGAGCTGTGAATCAGTTATTTCTTCTATAAATCTCAGTTTCCACATGATTCTGCTGATGCAAGCATCTCCTGAAATAACATAAGTCCAAGATTAAAAGCCATATTTTCCCTGTGTAATGGTTCTTTAATGCCAGGTAAGGACTTTGGTTGGTCAACTTTCTTAGGATTTTTCACTGATATACTTTCATTATACAGTTGACCCTTGAAAAATGTGAGGGTTAGGGGTGCTGATTCCCCATGCAGTAAAATATTAGAGTATAACTTTTTCTGTATCTGTATCTGTGGTTCCATATCCACCAACCATGGATCATGTAGTACTGTAATATATATATAGTGGAAAGAAATCCAAGTATAAGTGGACTTGTGCAGTTCAAACAAATGTTCAAGGGTCACTGTATTCAATTTTTTACATACTTACAGTCCAATTCTAATGTATTCTGTAACTCTATGACTTCAAATTGTATATAGAGTAAAATATTACTATTTTAATAAGGATGATAGGCACACATTACTAAACTATATTTATTATTTTAATATAAACACTACTTTATCACTTTTCATATTATCAAAGTAATTAAACAACCTGATTTTCATTCCAGAAAGGATTTGTGCCTGTGGACACAAATACTTATCACAGAATAGAATATAAATTGGAAAGCATTCAAGGCAGTAGAAAATAGTGATGGAATTGGAAAATAATTGTGGGGAAAATAAAGACAAACAGGTATTTAATAGAATATCTTTTACATTTGTGAAATGCTCTTAGAATCATTTAGAGCTTTCTAGTACCCAAATCAAGTAGGAAAACTATTAGTTATATAACACAATGCCTAAGAAAAGTATAATATTTTTCAGTGGGGTGCAAAACAAATCTGAGACACATTTTTCTCTCGTGTATTTACATACAAGGGTACTAAGAACACTGGTATAAATATGCTCACCTAGGTAAATGCAAGACTTCAGGTATGGTAACAGAGGTTTTCCTTGTGGAAATCTTATACAAATTATTATTTGTAATTGGAGTAACACACTGATAGCCAAGTTTTAGCTTTCTAGAAGTAGTTATGCTAGTAAATATATGTTATAAAACTTTTTTTTCTTTTTAAGAAGTTAACTGTTGCTGTAACACAAAAAAATTACAATATCATTTGTTTTAAACTATCTTAGATTGTACAGGTGTAAATTTGATCTTTGTATATTTCTGAGTTGGCCCACAATCCAAAGTATGTTCCTTTACTTAGCTTTTTCTGTGTAAGTACAAGAGCACAGACCTATACAGAGAGAGATGTGGAAAGAAAATATTCCCAGCAACAACTATGTTAGAGAGGACTACATAGCTTGAGAAGCCAAGACCTAAGAATAGACACTTAGTATATTTTTTCACTTTCCACTGTTGCTGTTCCCACAAATTTAGTCCATCTTTGTACTATACAGTTATTAAGTCATTTGTTATGAATGATAAATCTATTGTCTTCTAAAGGAGAAGAACCGTGCTTATAGATTGATTCTATGAACATTATCCTACAAGTATTAGAGTCAATCCTCATTCTTCCTAGATTCCATATATGTGAATTGACCTACTTGCTAAAATTTATTTGTTACCCTTAAAGCAATACTTGTACCATTTTCACAGTCATTTGAGGATATAGGAAGAGTGTTGAAAATTTGAGACACCCAACAGGCATGTTTCCCCCTGATGTCAAATAAGGTAATGCTCTGCCTCCTTGTTTCAACTCTCATATTATAAACAAGTTTCCTCTCTGTGGTCTATTTAGTGCAATATTTTTCTTTTAGTATTTTTTTTCTGTTTAAAATGGCTTTCAAGCATGGTGCTGAAGTGCTGTGTAATGCTTCTAAGCATAAGAAGGATATGATGTGTCTGATGGAGAAAATACATGTGTTAGACAGGCTTCATTCAGGCATGAGTTATAGTACTATTGATCATGAGTTCAATGTATGAATCAACAATATATATTAAATAACATGTCTTTAAACAGAAGCATACACTGAAGAAAAATGTATATATTGGTAATTTAATAAAAAAATATTGTGACCAGAGGCCACAGAAAAACCAAAATCAGTATTTTGCCTAGGAGTAATGGTTCAGTATTTTCTAATTCAGTATTTGCAGCAACTTTATAATACATAACACTCACGAATAACAAGGATGAGCTGTATATTATACCCAAATGTATAATTTTCTAAGATAAAAAGTGTTCTACAATTAATCATCTTTGGTAGTGATTCTATTGATACAATTGTTTGATTTAGTTGATTGATTCTGGTTGTGCAAAGCTTAATTTAAATTTTTATCCAGGTATCTAAGCAATACATCCAACTAGGAACATGAATATTCATATACCTATAAGAATGATATAGTAAATGAGTAGGAACCTATGAGGCCCTCCCAGAACAGATGCCCCCATGTCCTCTGCATCCCTCTTGTTTGTAGAAAAACTATATTTCTAGGACTTCCCTGAGTTCCAAATAATAAATTTAATCAGAAGTGAGAAAATCCAGAAACAGGAGTCAACCAAGACAAAATAATAATAGTTTAACCATTAAACAAATTTATAGACATTTTGTTCCTTCTCAAGAGCTATAGGTAATATTCTGAGCCATATATTTGGGGCTGTTTTGCAGATACTGAAACCCCCACCAGGTGGAAGATGTTAATTCTATATTGACCACAAGCACATAGACCCCAAACAAGTTGGAACCAGAAGGTGGATGATGTTGATTTCTGGTTACCTCAGCACCAATCAATCACAAGAATGCTCATGAACTGATCACAAAACTCACAACCCTCTCCCTCACACAGTCTTTAAAAAACCTTTCCCTGAAAGCCATTGGGAAGTTAAGGTTTTTTGAGCATTAGCTGCCTGCATTCCTTGTTTGGCACCTGCAGTAAATTCTGCAATTTCCTTCAGCACAACCCAGTGCCAGTAGATTGGCTCTACTGTGCACAGGTGACTGGACCCAAGTTTGGTTCTGTAACAATATTCCCAAACTGGAAAGTTATAGTTAAACAATTGAATAATTTCTGACAAAAGAAAGGCAGATACTAACTTGCTATTATTATTACTTCTTCCTTTTTCATGAAAACACAAGATTTTTTTAATTGAAATTTTGTATAATGGTCATTTAAAAGTTCTTACCCTTTTTTACCTTTAAACTCCATTCAATCCCATAAAATTTGACATTTAATATATATCATTCTTTGTATTAGGTTCTATGATACATAAAAAAGTTATGATTAGTACCCTCTTAGGACTCCTAATAATGTGAGTGTTTGGAGCCAGTAATAATTACATTTAGAAAAATAATTAAAACAAAGAAAGTAGTTATATACCATGCTTGGGAGGATCAAAGAAGAATTCACAGAGAGCAGATTCTTGAGCTAATCTTAAGGGATTCTGTCAGTCAGGTTTAAAGAGTATAGCTGAATATATGCAAAGATAAATGAGTATGAGATATTAAAGTCACTTTGCATAACTCAACATGGTTGGAATAGGGGGACCTGCAATGTCTACCCCAAAGAAAAGAAGAATGATTGTGTTTGCTTCAGCCTGCTTCTGTGATAATCTATTGACAACTGCTTGGCAGGTGACATTTTTATAGATAAATTTATTTGTGGAAACACCTTATATTGTAACCTGATTTTTCAGCAGAATAATGAGGGGGCCCTTGGTTCTTATGAAGGAATGAAGGATGGTATGTAAATATTATGCTGCCAGCAATGAGCAAACCACCAAGCAATTTCCAACTGGGTAATATCAGAGAAGAAAATTAGAGGATATGAATAGGAAGATTAGAGATGGCAAAGAGAAGAGAGGGGGAAATATCTACTGTACCAAACAGTAGCAAAACTGTCATGAAATGATAAAAGAAAGAAATTTAACATTTAGTTAAAGTTATTTTGTTAATACAAACTTTAGTGATTAGCTGATTTGTGGTTAGAATTAGTATCCTTTTATAAAAATTGAAGAAATAAGGACATCTAAGTAAACTAAACGTAAGATCAGTGAACTTCCACTTGTGGGGAGATGAGCTTCATGAGAATGAATATTCAGGTAGGGCTTTCAGATACTGAGGCATAGAAAAGATTATTCTTTCAAATGAACACTGTCATTTGGATCCCAATATGTATTCTACTCCTCTCTCATTAGGAGAGGTCTTAAGAAGAATGTGGTCTTAAGACTTGACCCAATACCAAGGCAAGTCCTCTGATTATTCTAAGCCAGTTAATTCAATTTCTTTATTTCCTTTACTTTTGTTAGTGTTTGTTTTAGGAATTCAGGTTTAAATTAATCAGCATAAATTCAATTCCTGGTGAAAGTTATTGGACTAAGGAATACTGAGACTATGAGAGAAACTAAGGGCAGAGCCATAAGATTTGCAAAGAGGACTTCCCTGGTGGTCCAGTTGTTAAAACTCTGTGCTTCCAATGCAGGGGGTGCAGGTTCAATCCCTGGTTGGGGAACTAAGACCCAACATGCTGCACGGTGTGGCCAAAAAAAAAAAAAAAAAAAAAGATTTCCAGATAAATCTGGAAGAGTTTTGCTCAAATCATGCCTGAAGTCCATTCCACTCTGTTCTTGTATGCATATAAGATAATTAAATTTTATTATTTAAGCTAATCCACTTAGGTTTCTACTACCTATAGCTGAAAGTACCCTAACTAACAGAAATAACTCTAAGTCTGTCCTGGCAGCATAATAAGTGTGATCTGATGAGTAAATATCCTCTTTTATTAGCTCCTTTTCTTAAACAAAAAGATGTCATGTAGGGGGTAATCAGCATTATTTTCTGCCTGGCTTCTTACAGGTAAAATAATAGGAGTAGTGAGGATTCCACATTAAAGATTCAATCAACTCTAAATTGGGCCATCTAAAACAGAACTCTGAACAATATATTCTTAAATAGAAAAAGTGTGAGATGAAGGGCTTCCCTGGTGGTGCAGTGGTTGAGAGTCCGCCTGCCGATGCAGGGGACACAGGTTCGTGCCCCAGTCCGGGAGGGTCCCACATGCTGCGGAGCAGCTGGGCCCGTGAGCTGTGGCCGCTGAGCCTGCGCGTCCGGAGCCTGTGCTCCGCAACGGGAGAGGCCACAACAGTGAGAGGCCCGCATACAGAAAAAAAAAAAAAAAAAGAAAAAGTGTGAGATGTTAACCAACTTCCTAAAATACACCACAAATAGCTTTGTGAGAATACTACAAGTATTTTGTTGGTGTTCAGGAAAGGAATAAAATAATAATGGAGAAACCCTATAGGTTACTATAACAAAATTAAGGGGAAGGGCATTTCTCTATCACTTTAAATAATTGCAAAAAATTGAGGCATTTTAAGTTAGTGTTAATGAGTAAGGATGCCAGCAGATAGTTCATCTTTTCCTAAGTTCATAGCATGCATGATTATCCATTGAAAATTATCTTTGATAAATGAGTCTGAAATGATACGGATAACCCACAATAAATGGTCACCTTTAATTATGTTCAGATGGATTCTTTGCCTGATAGATTTCTGTCACATTAATAAATATTGCAGAGAAAACACATTCATCATACCAAAGAAGGGAAAATATCTTACAGTTTCATCAACCAATTTCTAGGTGACAGTGTGGACAAAGGGAAAGAGATACCAGTAAGAGATAGGTTAGTGATGTGCATTGACAGAAGGGAATATAACCAGAGATTTACTTCCCCTTCATTTTTTAAAATAAATTTATTTATATTATTTATTTTATTTTTGGCTGTGTTGGGTCTTCATTGCTGCACGCGGGCTCTCTCTAGTGGCAAGCAGGGGTTACTCTTTGTTGCGGTGCGTGGGCTTCTCATTGCAGTGGCTTTTCTTGTTGCAGAACACAGGCTCTAGGTGCACGGGCTTCAGTAGTTGTGAATTGCGGGCTCTAGAACTTAGGCTTAGTAGTTGAGGTGCATGGGCTTAGTTGTTCCACGGCATGTGGAATCTTCCCGGACCAGGATTCAAACCCATGTCCCCTGTATTGGGAAGCATATTCCCAATGACTGCACCGTCAGGGAAGCCCTATTTGTTTTTTGGTTTTTTACTTTAGATAAACTCTATTCCAGGCCAAAAAAGTAACTCATTGTGAATCAAAAGAGGTCAGTGGGAAGGGCTGGACCAATTACATGAATACTATGGGGAGAGAAGTTGTTGATGCCACCAACCTGTTCTTCCTAATATTTAGAGTTCATGGGAAACTATTAGATAGAATGTTTCTAACCAAGACTTGTGGCAGTGAAGGGCAGTAGAAATATTATCACAGAAGGTAGAGAGAGTATGACACTAAATCAGAAAGAGAGAAGAGTTCTTCCAGTTGGTGAGAATACAGATGTTGAAACCACTCAATACAGCCCTTTAGGCTGAGTTTTAACCTGGGAAGGAACTAGAGAGTTGCTTGTAAAAGCCATGAAAATTGTAGCTCAAGTGTATTGCAGTATGTAGGCCTACTGATTAATTGTAACAAAAACAATTGTTTTTAAGAAACTTCAACTGGAAACAGTTCTTTGCTTCAAGAACATATGCATTATCTTAAGGGATAGCTTTTCTTGGGCATATATCATCTCACTTAGCTGCACTGCATGTTTCTAGTTAGATATTAGCTGCCAACAAATTCCTGAGCTATCTCATATTCTGGGCAAGAATTTGGCTATCGATATTGCTGTTTCATTGTTTGCAGAGAATCAGTGAAGTCGCCAGACTATGTGGAGCTCAATATTCTCCACATGGCAACTTTACCAATCATTTGTTACTCCATGTTCATTGCCTTGTACTGCCTCTTAGAGTAGTGGTTCTCCAAATGTGATACTAAGGCCACCATCATCATCAGCAACACCTAAGGATTTTTTTTAGAAATGTAAATTATTTAGTCCCATTTGGCCAAAAACAGAAACTCTGGGTGTGAAGTCCAATAATCTGTGTTTTAACAAGCCTTCTAGTAGACTATAAAGTTTGAAAACCTCTGTCTTAGAATGCTGTTTGTTATTTATCCTTAACTTTTTGTCTATGTTTATATTTTCCTCCAACTCTTCTTGCAAGCTTTATTAGGTATTCATCTGGAATCTATTCTCTGGAAGTCCAGTAAAAGCAAGCAAATTCAAATTCAATATTTCTCATGTGTGAATGAAAGGGAATAAGCCATATTTTGTTTTAAGTGCTACACCAGAAACTTTTAATTAAAAATCTTGACATATGTCAATTTAAATTATTTTTACCCAAGGAACAGACAAATTTGGTGGGAGCCATCTACTTACAATTTGTAATTATGAGCCAACTACATAACCACTGACCCATAAATGCAAGAAATGAATAGTCAATAATAATCCTAAACCTTTCTCCTTTGTTCTCACCCATGTTCTGTCAAGTTCTCATTTTGTCCTGTTTATTAGCTCTAGCCCACTCTCTTTACTAATCACTCTTGACTAGTCTTGGCATTTGAAACTGGTCTCTCTGACACTTGATCTCCTTCACATATTAGATTCTAGTTGTGTCTGTTTTCCTCATTTTGAGGGACTTCTGGTGGGAAAACCTGAATACCAGTTGGGAAGTGTGTGGCTGTAAGAAACATAATACCCCACACAATGTTATCAACAATAAATACATCTATTTTTTTTCAACAACTTTATTAGAGTATAATTGCTCTACAGTGGTGCCTTAGCTTCTGCTGGATAACAAAGTGAATGAGCCATAAGTATAAACGTATCCCCGTATCCCCTCCCTCTTGCGTCTCCCTCCCACACTCCCTATTCCACCCCTCTAGGTGGTGTCAAAGCACTGAGATGATCTCCCTGTGCTATGTAGCTGCTTCCCACCAGCCATCCATTCTATATTTGGTAGTGTATATTTGCAAAAGCCACTCTCTCACCTCGTCCAAACCCACCCCTCCCCTTCCCCATGTCCACAAGTCCACTCTCCACATCTGCATCTTTATTCCTGTCCTGCCCCTAGGTTCTCAGAACTTTTTTTTTTTTTTTAGATTTCATATATATGTGTTAGCATACAGTATTTGTTTTTCCCTTTCTGACTTACTTCACTCTGTATGACAGATGCTAGGTCCATCCACCCCACTACAAATAACTCAATTTCATTTCTTTTTATGGTTAAATAATATTCCATTGTATGTATGTGCCACATCTTCTATATCCATTCAACTGTTGATGGACACTTAGGTTGCTTCCATGTCCTGGCTATTGTAAATAGTGTTGCAATGAACATTGTGGAACATGACTCTTTTTGAATGATGGTTTTCTCAAGGAATATACCCAGTAGTGGGATTGCTGGTTCGTATGGTAGTTCCATTTTTAGTTTTTTAAGGAAACTCCATACTGTTCTCCATAGAGGCTGTATCAATTTATATTCTCACCAACAGTGCAAGAGTGTTCCCTTTTCTCCACACCCTCTCCAGCATTTATTGTTTATAGATATTTGATGATGGCCATTCTGACAGGTGTGAGGTGGCACCTCATTGTACTTTTGATTTGCATATCTCTAATTATTAGTGATGCTGAGAATCCTTTCATGTGTTTGTTGGTAATCTGTATATCTTCTTTGGAGAAATGTCTATTTAGGTCTTCTGCCCATTTTTGGATTGGGTTGATTGTTTTTTTGATATTGAGCTGTATGAGCTGCTTGTATATTTTGGAGATTAATCCTTTGTCAGTTGCTTTGTTTGCAAATATTTTCTCCCATTCTGAGAGTTATCTTTTTGTCTTGTTTATGGTTTCCTTTGCTGTGCAAAAGCTTTTAAGTTTCATTAGGTCTCATTTGTTTATTTTTGTTTTTATTTCCATTTCTCTAGGAGGTGGGTGAAAAAGGATCTTGCTATGATTTATGTAATGCAGTGTTCTGCCTGTGTTTTCCACTAAGTGTTTTATAGTGTCTGGACTTACATTTAGTTCCTTAATCCATTTTGAGTTTATTTCTGTGTATCGTGTTTGGGAGTGTTCTATTTTCATTCTTTTACATGTAGCTGTCCAGTTTTCCCAGCACCATTTATTGAAGAGGCTCTCTTTTCTCCATTGTATATTCTTGCTTCCTTTATCAAAGATAAGGTGACCATATGTACATGGGTTTATCTTTGGGCTTTCTATCCTGTTCCATTGATCTATATTTCTGTTCTTGTTCCAGTACCATACTGTCTTGATAACTGTAGCTTTGTAGTAGGGTTGGATGTCAGGGAGCCTGATTCCTCTAGCTCTGTTTTTCTTTCTCAAGATTGCTTTGGCTATTCAGGGTTTTTTGTGTTTCCAAACAAACTGTGAAATTTTTTGTTCTAGTTCTGTGAAAAATGACATTGGTAGTTTGATAGGCATTGCATTGAATCTGTAGATTGCTTTGGGTAGTATATTCATTTTCACAATGTTGATTCTTCCCATCCAAGAACATGGTATATATCTCCATCTGTTTGTATCATATTTAATAACTTTCATCAGTGTCTGATAGTTTTCTGCATACAGGGTTTTTGTCTCCTTAGGTAGCTTTATGTCTAGGTACTTTATTATTTATGTTGCAGTGGTAAATGGGAGTATTTCCTTAATTTCTCTTTCAGATTTTTCATCATGCGTGTATAGGAATGCAAGAGATTTCTGTGCATTAGTTTTGTTTCATGCTAGTTTACCAAATTCATTGATTAGCTCTAATAGTTTTCTGGTAGCATCTTTAGGATACTGAATGTATAGTATCATGCCATCTGCAAACAGTGACAGTTTTACTTCTTTTCTGATTTGTATTACATTTATTTCGTTTTCTTCTCTGATTGCTGTGGCTAAAACTTCCAAAACTATGTTAAATAATAGTGGTGAGAGTGGGCAACCTTGTCTTGCTCCTGATCTTACTGGAAATGGTTTCAGTTTTTCACCATTGAGAATGATGTTGGCTGTGTATTTGTCATATATGGTCTATATTATGTAGAGGTAAGTTCCCTCTATGGGTTTTTATCAAAAATGGCTGTTGAATTTTGTCAAAAGCTTTTTCTGCATCTATTGAGATGATCATATGGTTTTTGTCCTTCATTTTCTTAATATGGTGTATCACATTGATTGATTTGTGTATATTGAAGAATCCTTGCATTACTGGGATATACCTCACTTGATCATGCTGTATGATCCTTTTAATGTGCTGTTGGATTCTGTTTGCTAGTACTTTGTTGAGGATTTTTGCATTTAGGTTCATCAGTTATATTGGCCTGTAGTTTTCTTTCTTTGTGACATCTTTGTATGGTTTTGGTATCAGGGTGATGGTGGCCTTGTAGCATGTGTTTGGGAGTGCTCCTCCCTCTGCTGTTTTTTGGAAGATTTGAGAAGGATAGGTATTAGCTGTTCTCTAAATTTTTGATAGAATTCACCTGTGAAGTCATCTGTTCCTGGCATTTTGTTTGTTGGAAGATTTTTAATCACTGTTTCAATTTCAGTGCTTGTGAGTGAGCTGTTTATATTTTCTATTTCTCCCTGGTTCAGTCTCAGAAGGTTGTGCATTTCTAATAATTTGTCCATTTCTTCCAGGTTGTCCATTTTACTGACATATAGTTGCTTGTAGTAATCTCTCATGATCCTTTGTATTTCTGCAGTGTCAGTTGTTACTTCTCCTTTTTCATTTCTTATTCTATTTATTTTAGTCTTCTCCCTTTTTTTCTTTATGAGTCTGGCTAATGGTTTTTCAGTTTTGTTTATCTTCTCAAAGAACCAGCTTTTAGTTTTATTGATTTTTGCTATTGTTTCCTTCATTTCTTTTTCATTTATTTCTGATCTGATCTTTATGATCTTTCCTTCTGCTAACTTTGGGGTTTTTTTTCCTTCTTTTTCTAATTGCTTTAGGTGTAAGGTTAGGTTGTTTATTTGAGATTTTTCTTGTTTTTTGAGGTAGGATTGTATTGTTATAAACTTTCCTGTTAGAACTGCTCTTGCTGTATCCCATAGGTTTTGTGTCTTCGTGTTTTCATTGTCATTTGTTTCTAGGTATTTTTTTATTTCCTCTTTGATTTCTTCTGTAATTTCT